CTCTTCCTTAACCTCATTCTTAGTTAATGTCTCCAAAGTGTTTAGCAACACAGCAACACTTTCTGGTTCTTGTTCTTTTGGATCAGATGATTCATCTTTTGCTTTCTTGGCTTCGGCTATTTTCTTGTAATGAGCTTCAAAGAAAGCTTTCTTCTGAGCAACAGATCCAGGCTGAGAGAATTTCTCGGCTTCATCGACATATTTCTTGTGTGAGAAACTTGACCATTTCCCCCATTCAAGATTCTCACTCATAAACCTACCAAATGACACTGATTGGCTAAGCGCATGATTCGTATTATCCTGCATACCACCAACAAATCAGAATCTCAATTATCTTAAAAACCAAATTTATAAACTTTCTCATGAATCAAAGTATATACTTTTAACGGAAATGGTAAGAATTTATATAACAGAGAACATTTTCTGTTTTCTGATACTAATAAAAATGCAATTTTTTACAATCAAATCACAAACCCAAATTCAGAAACTTTAAAATTCATACAAACTCATTGATGATTTCACCAAAATTGAGATCAAAGGTAGAAAATTTTGCTCTCAAATATCAACCAAAACTCTAAAGTTTAGAACTTTAATTACGGATTTTCCCCAGAAAACAATCGAATTTACCTGGAAAATTACTCAATTTCGGAGAAATCAAAATTAATCATAGAAATGAATGAAACTAACCTCATGAGATTCAGTACGAGAGAGAGGAGCTGTGAACGAATATGAATGAAACAGAACAGCAGATTCACCCATAGCCAAAACGAGAATTTCTTCGATGAAAATGAACAATTTTTTTTTTCTTAGCTCTAATAAGAAATCTTTTCTCTGAAACTGTTTTCTCTTTTTGTCAGCCAAACGGCTATAGAATTCGAAAATTTCAAAAAGAAAAAAAAAACAAATTATTCCTTTTGTCGTTTTTTTAGTTTCTCTCAAGCCAAACACATGTTTTAGAAGACGATCTTGAAGGAGTTTTGTTGCAATCTGGGCCCCACGAAACAGAAAATAAATTTAAAAAATTAGAAACCCAGAATTTTTTTTTTAATTATTATATTAAAATAGACTCTCTCTTTTTTTTTTTTTGAACTGAGATTAAAAATAGAGTCTATTTTGAGTTTATATGAGGTTTTTGATAGAAAATTGGAAAAACTGTGAATAGATTATGAGCCTAAGAAGTGTAACAAACATAAATTATTTCTGTTATAGTTGTTGACATGAAGTGGTTGAGAATTGAAATAAAAAAAGGGAAACGAAAATTTCTGGTGATAAAAATTAAAATGTGATGTTGTTATTGGGAAAGAGAAATTCGTAAACTCTGTAATCTAAACTAAATTATGAGTATTTTTAATTTTTTAGGTATAGTAACGCGTTTTAAAACTATTTTAGTTATTTTTACTAAAATTTTTGAAGTGATTTAACTCCTAATTTTATGCAATTATGAATGATCACAATCATTATTGAAGTTCGGTGTTAATAGTATACTCGGATCATCATCAATGGAAGTATCGTAGTATATCATCACTTGAAGATAAGGTCTCATTTGAAGATCCGAGTCTCGCTTCAACAAGCGAATCAAAATTCACTTTTGGATACTTGATCGCAACAGTATCAGTATATTCTAAGCAGACAAGATTTGGAGTATCAAATGAAACACTCTTTGGATCCTCACCAATATAATCATCGAAACAAATATTCAGTCTCTTGAGGTTATGGTTAGAAACCAAGAAACGTTCACGAGTATAACGAAAAACGACATCATTCATAACTAACTCTTTAAAAGCGGGACAAGCAGAAATCAGCTTTGGCAAATGCAGCAACATTCTCTAATGAAGCACCATCATCAAGATGCAAAGTCTTAAGCTTTGGAAGAAAAACTTGATAAAACGCTGTCGTATAGTCAAAACCCCAAAAATCCCAAATTGGTCGCATTTTCAAGGTTTCAACTTTATTATTTATACACGAAAGTCGAAATCTTCCAGTGATCCTAAATTCTCTTTGTTTGATCGTTTTTCTACCTTTGATGAGTCGTGAGCGAAGATGGGAGGATGGAATTGGAGATACCCTTTACCTTTGATTTTCCTCTGCTTCGTGATTTCTTCTGAGTTTTGGGGATTTCCAGATCACAATTCGCTACTTGAACAAATTCTCGAGGTAAATTTCAGCTTGTTCGAGTGTAACAATTTCGTATAAGGAATGTATGTACTCGATCTGGCTTAGTTTTGATCAGACATACTTGGAGATCTGATTTACCCTTTTTAGTTTGTTCAAATTCTTAAGCTTTTTGGTTTGTTCATTGTTAATGGTGTTTGTATCTACAGGTTTTGGAATATCCTGAAGATAACAGGTATTGTGAATTTTAAAGGATTGATAAAGTTTTAAAAAG